TTTTAGATTAACGTAATTATATAGTCATGCATTTTTAATTAGAAAAAAGTAATGATTAGAGTTTAAATTAGCAAAAATGGACAGAGGGACTCTAATCCATATATAATTCTCAACGTCCCATAAGATTACTAGGTAATTAATTATAAATAGGAATATATAAAAATATTATGAGTTGTTGTTAGTGAACGATTTCCTCCGCAATGTGATAGTAGCATGGTAAAAAGTACACCTGGTTGAAGGTTATGACATCTTCTTTGAGTTATGTCACTTTATTATATATTTATTATGAGTAAGTATGCACAGCTTATTTACTGAATTAATAACCAGAGGTTACTAAAAACTGTATAGTCAAAATATATCTTATTCAAAAACAATTTAATGTTTTGAACTTTTGTCACATTCTTCTTTAAAGCCCTTAAATAATTCACGGCTAGATGATTATGTGTGAGGGGGTAGAATGTTGTTGGATTAAACATGAAACTTATAAATATTTTTAGTTCCCTCAGATTCGGACTCTGGTTGTGCCTATGCATATCTGCTAATACCATACGGTGTTAGGACTGCTAGTGTGATTAAAATGAATTAATCAAAATGAAAAAGCACAACAAATAATTAATATAAACGTATGACTTATAATTGTTAACATTACTGAACAATAATAAAATATATCATTGTAATATAGTAATATTTTATTATATAAAGGTGTTGAGTTTTGACAGAGAAGCTCAGAGAGTTCTGACCATCTAATCAAGAGATCGGAAACAAAAAAAAAAAGTTATAATATGTAATAAAATTAATTATTTGAATCGGTATGCGGGTCGTGCGTTCAAAATAACCCGCTGTGGAGTTTGACAAAATGACAGTGTGTGTTCGTTGGATGTGCTTCGTAGGATTCAAAGTGGTCATACTGTTAACCGGGTGCGTCAGTGTTTTCCATAGAAGAAAGAGTGAAAGAATCAAGAGCGCCGCGGAACGATAATAAACGCGGTAGGCCACGACGACGTAGTCGTTTCTCCCTCTAAATGACCCGAAGAACCGCGTATTGCCGAGTGCCGTAGACTAGACAGTACGCGTTATTATTTCTTCTTCCCCCGTCAACTGTTGTGACCATTGTCGTAGTGCGTATGGTATGTTATTGTTTTGTTCCAGTTTTAGTTTTGTTTATTAGCCGTTCCGATTGTAATAATACATTTGTCTCTCGCGGTGTTTGTCGTCTGTACATGTAACGATCCTCATTTTTCAGTTGGTTTTATTATTTGATTACCAACATAATTGATATACATATATATATAATTATTTATTTAAAATTTACTCAATATTATGCTTACCCCGTCAACAGTTGTCCAAATGTGTACATTCAAGTAAGTGTTCGTTTATATTTGTTCACATTTGGATTTTTCTTTAATCTTACATTTTTGTATTATTGTTACTATATATAATTTTCGTCAATTGTTTCCAATAGCTATTAGCTGTTGCGCAGTGCACAACATGCACGTGTCCTCGGAAGTCTATGTTACTAGTTTTTCTCATTTGATCACTTATTATTTTTGGTAACTTACTTGCAAATGTTACTATGTTAGGTTGTAACAATACAGGATATATATGATATTGTGTATATTAGAACTGCGAATTCGATATCTGTGAATTTTCAATGTTTACGTTATATAAGTAAAAACTGGATTTATATGCATTTTAAAGTATAAAATATGCATGTAAAAATTTACAAAAAAAAAATGTGAAACATATAAAATAAAATTTCAATTTTTATTAAATTTTATATTTGATTTTAATCTTGCAGTAATAATTATTTATTAATTTTATTAAAATTTTCAAAAGCAAAAAGTAAGATGTAAATATGCTATATGAAAATGTAATTTGTTAAATTATAGAAATAACAAATCGAATTAAAAATTCAAATAAATGTTTGTAAGAACATATAAGATGCAAATATTTAATCATCCATTTATTAATAATAATAATTTATACTTACTGTAATCGAATACCAGAAAAATAAAAAAAATCAAGTAAAGATTTGTGAATGCTCATTGACTTAAAATAGCAACCTTCATTTTATGTAAAGTTCGGTCTTTAGTTATAAGTAAGTCTCAAAGGTATTTTAAGGCAATTTCTACAAGAATTTGATTAATATACAATTCATTTTGAAACCAAAACTAGAAAATTATGGATATAATTAGATAATATTTACTAATTTGAAGTAACCTATATATATATATATTATTAAATACGTACCTGTTTAGTTTTTAATTACACTACATATTCTTTAGGCAATTGTTTATAATCTATATTTTTTATCTATGTATATTACTGAATTTCAAACTAATTCTCATCCAAACCATATTTTATTTGGGTATTATTGATGGCTATTGAACCCTTATAAAATAATTCTTTTTCTTTTTCTAGTTTTATAATATCTTATATATACTTATTTATTTTTTATTGGTGTACATTTTTTTACATTTAAAATTTTTTTATTTAACTACTTTCAATAAATTTTGTTGATTAATCAAAATAAAAATAAAAAAAATCATAATATGTAATTAGATTAGAAATATTTTAGAATGTTTTGAAATAACTTTACCAATCAGATAATAAAAATATTACTAAATATTTAAGTTATCTTATAAATTCTTTATAGCTTATAGTTTTTATTTTGATTTGGTTTTAATCTGTTTTTAACAAAATGAAAATATGATTATATTTGATAAAAATCTCATTATTAAATCTCATTAATGTTTTTATTTACTTGTAATACTTATGTTAACAACTCATTTTTCAGTTTTCAATTGTTATTTATATTTTTATCTCAATTTAATTATTTTAATTTTGAGCTGAATAATACCTAAAATATATGTTACATTCCAAATTATAAGTGCAGCTATTTTAAATATTTTAGTAAACTTTATAATAAAAATCTAAAAATAGATTGTATACTGAAGGTTTTATAAAATGTTTAATTTAAATTATTTTGCATTAAAAAATATGTTTATATAAATATATTACTCTTATATAATCTTTAGATGTTTTTTATATTTTAATATCTTCATAATTTTAACAACACCATAATTAAATAATAGTACTTAATTTAATATATTTCATAATTTCATTTATTATTTCTGTTGCTGAAAATGAAAATGAAATGCTTTTATTTTTACTAGTATTATTTATCTAATATTTATCTCAACTTAAAGATATATATATTTTTTTTTATTAGATAAAATAAATATATTTACAATCTGTAATATAGTAAAACAATAAGTAAATTTGATAGTATTTTTTACAAGTTTTGGAGACTTGAGTGAAGAGGGTGTCCATCGACACTACTTCAAAATGTTATTATTTAATTATTTAGCTAAGTAAATCACGAGGCCATTTTCGTTTTAGTCATCGGGGAGGGTTATCTGGGAGAGTCTTGGAGGAGAGGTTTGAAATTAATGGGTTTGAATGATTATTTGTATTAAAATGACATTTTTTATAGTGGGTAGAGGCGAGGGCGTGAAGATTTGGAATGTTTAAGTCTTTATGGATTGTATGATTATTTATATACCTGGGTGCATTTGTCAGGAGGCGGAGACTAATCGACTGAAAAGATTGAAGGAGATTTAAGTTTGAAATTTTGGTTGATCCCCATTTTTGGATTCCGTATGTCATTGTAGGATGAATTAATTGTTTGTATACTAGGGTTTTGTTGCTAAGTAATATTTTGGAACGTAAAAGTTGTCGAAGTTTATGAAGTTTTAGTTTTATTGATTTTCTTTTTGTTTTATTGTTAGTTGCCCATGTTAACCTTTGGTCTAGATGAATACCTAAATATTTCACTGAACTCTCTCTAGGAATAGTTACGGTATTGAGAGTAATGGAGGGGCTGTTATTGGGACGAAGTGTAAATGTGATGTGTGATGATTTGTTTTCGTTTATTTTAATTCTCTATAGATTAAACCAATTTTAAAGGTCATTTAGATGGGATTGGAGGTTCTCCGTTGCAGTGTATATATCTGGGTCAGAAGATGCTATACATGTGTCATCGGCAAAAGTAGCTAAACTCGTAAGGTTCTAGTGAGGAATATCAGATGTGTAAATATTATAAAGCGTGGGAGCAAAAATACTTCCTTGGGGTAAACCGGCTTTTGCTATATGAACTTCGGAGAGTTCGTCTTCACAGTGGACTTGGAAGGTACGATTAGAGAGATATGAGTTAAGAGTAAGGTAGAGAGGAGTAGGAAGAAATCTGGTTTTGTAGAGAAGTCCTTTATGCCACACGCGATCAAATGCCTGGGCAACATCTAAAAATACAGCTGGGCAAAAATGTTTTCTTTCTAGTGAAGAAGCGATGTCTACAATTCTATGAACTTGTCGGAGGGCTGAATGTTTTTTTTTTAAATCCAAATTGAGTGTTAGGAATCGTCTTTTGAACATTAATGACTGATTAGATTCTTTTCAGTATAACTCTTTCGAGTATTTTAGAGAATGAAGGCAGCAGGCTAAATGGTCGGAAAGATGAAGGAAGATTTTCAGGTTTACCTGGCTTGTGTATTAGTATAATGATTGAATGTTTCCATGAGAGTGGAATATAGGATAGTTGAAGGATTGAATTGTAGATGAATGTGAGGAGTACTAAGGATTTTTTAGGTAGGTTTTTTATTATACGGTTAGTTATAAAGTCATGACCTAGTGCTTTGTTATTGTGAAGTTTTTTAATTATATGTAGAATTTCAGATGGAGAGGTATGTTTAGTCGGTAGAGACATAGGAAGAGTTAGGTTAAAGAATGTTAAGAAGGTTAAAGATATTTTTATTTATTTATTTTTTGCTTTTGTTAAAACATTACCGCAGTAAAGATATATTTTATTTTTATTGTTTAAAATTAAATTATTTATTTTATCTTGTAAATATTATTGAACAAATGGTAAGGTTATAATAATTGTAATTAAATTAATTATAGATATAATGTTACTAAACACTTTGATTTACCTTTAGAATTATATCTTTGTACTTACTTAAAATTGTATTTGATTATTTATTTGCTATAAAAAATGTATTATTTAGTATATTTTATTTTATTTCTTTATTTTAGGACATAATCAAGATATTTAACTTGAGTCATAAGACAAATCTGACAAAACTTAAAGTGTACCGGTGATCGTGAATTAATTAGGTATCAAGTATCTAAATTACTATTAAATTTTTTCAACTATGTAATGGGAAGTAAAATGATTTTTTATAAAAATAATTTATATTTATTAAAATAAATCAAGATAAAATCATTATATATATTTAAGGGTGTCAAAAATTACCAATATAGTATTAATTTAGTTAAAATTATTTTAATTTTTGAATAGACTGTTCCTAAAAATCCTTTAAAATGTATGGAATGACTTCAGCAATAAGTGATGCTTTACCGACTGACATGGATATACAACTAACAAAGTCTTTAGATGATGCCCTTGCAAAAGAAAAAGTTATAACTACCGATGAAGATTTATCACAAAGACTTGAAGTATTATCAATGCTAAATAATTTGGCTAAAGAATGGATACGTGAAGTTAGTATGGAAAGAAATTTACCTGAAATCACTGCTGAGAATGTTGGAGGTTTAGTATGTACTTTTGGATCCTATCGCCTTGGTGTTTATCATAAAGGTGCTGATATTGATGCAATTGTAATAGTTCCTAGACATATAACAAGAAATGATTACTTTTCAACTTTTTATAACAAATTAAAAGAAAATTCTAATATTAACAATGTTCGAGCTGTTGAAGAAGCATTTGTTCCAGTAATTAAGATGATAATTCAAGGCATTGAAATTGATATGTTGTTTGCCCGCCTTGCTTTAAAAGAAGTACATGAAGATACTGATTTGCAACAAGATGATCTACTTAGAAATTTAAATCCTAAATGTGTACGAAGCTTAAATGGTTGTCGAGTCACTGATTCTATCTTAAGATTAGTGCCTAATAGAGAATCATTTAAGAAAACTTTAATTGCAATTAAATTATGGGCTAAACGTCATAGAGTTTACTCAAATGCCTTAGGTTACCTTGGAGGTGTTTCATGGGCAATGTTGGTTGCAAGAGTATGTCAATTATATCCAAATGCAGCACCTGCTACTTTAATACACAAATTTTTTTTAATTTTTTCCAAATGGCAGTGGCCTCAGCCAGTTTTATTAAAACCGTCATATTTTATGGATCTTGGATATCCAGTTTGGGATCCAAGAGTAAACATGGCTGATCGAAATCATGTTATGCCAATTATAACTCCGGTTTATCCTCAACAAAATTCAACTTTCAATGTTTCACATTCTACACTAGATATTATACAAGATGAATTTAAAACTAGTTTAGACATTATGGGAGAAATTTTAACTGGGGAATCTAGTTGGTCAAAACTTTTTCAACCTTCCAAATTTTTCACTAAGTATAGATATTTCTTAGCCATTACAGTGTTTGCAAATTGTGATGAAGAATTACTTGAATGGAGAGGTTTAGTTGAATCAAGACTTCGTTTTTTGCCTACATCTTTAGAAGAAATTGATTGTGTCCAAAGATCTCATTTAAATCCTGACCAGTTTTCATTGCCTTTTGAAAAGTCTCAAGGAAGGCCATCTTCAGTTTGGTTTGTTGGTTTAGAAATATCAAAATCGAATGGTACAATTGTTCAATTAGACTTTAGCTCGCATATCCGAGATTTTTGCCTATTAGTGAAAAGTAGAGCTCATAGTATTTTTAGAGCGGGTATGGATATACAAGTTAATCATTTGAAAAGAAAGGACTTAAAAGATTATGTACCAGATGAATTGAAAAAAGAAAAGGCTATTCCAAATACTGTTGGTAGTAAAATTATTGCTAGACTATCAACTGAAGGTAGGCATTCCTTATCAGAATTAGAAGAATCACAAAAAAGCCCCGAATCTAGGAAACGGATTGCTGATGATGACATTTGTAATAAAAGAAACAAAATTCAGTTATCAGATGTAGAAAAGAAGTTTGTATTAGGATCATTAGAACCTCAAAAAAGTCCATCTCAAAATGAAATTAATGATAATAATCTAACAAATTCTCTATTATCAACTGAGAAAAATAGTAATTCTTTATCAATTCAAAATGAAACTAAAGACGTTATTGTGGAAAATAGTAATTCTTTATCAATTCAAAATGAAACTAAGGAAGTTAATGAAAAAGATTCTCTATTATTGAATGAAGCTAGAAATTTAATAATCGAATCTGGAGATTCACAGAGAAGTCCAGTTTCAAATAAATGCTTTGCCGAAGATGAGACTGATGAGAATGATCAGAAAAAAATAAGGCTTTTACATCCAACTGTTGCCTAATTAACTATGTGTTCATATGATTATCATATATTATTAAATTATATATATACATAAAAAATTTTTAAAAAAAAAACGAAAAAAAAACAAAAAAAAATACGAACAAAAGAATGCTTCGTCATAAACAATGCATTTTTTTTTTTTTTGTAAAATAAGTAAATTTAATTATTTTTCTGTTCTATTGGAATATTTGCAATATAACAATAGCTAAAAATACATATTTAAAGAGCATAATGGGAGTGTATTGGTGCGGTTTCAATGGTTTCAATCAATTAAACAATGAATCAAACACCAATATGGATTTTCATGTATTTGAAAACAAAGTGACCCATGAAGATATTCAACAAGTTGATTTTTCTTGGAGTAGTGCTTCTGTTTTAACAAGTATTAAATTGTATTTCATTTTTATCTCAATTTAAATTAAATTAATATGTTTTATTAAAGGTTCTGGTCAAATTATTATAAGTGGCCTTGTGGACAAAAGAATAGCTAACTTTGAAATATTGAAAGATTTAGGATATGGCCCTTTTAAATCTGTAAGTTGTTTATTATTTATATTTAATTTGAATATTACTATAATTAGTATTTATATTTTAGATTTCTACATCAAACTCAAATATTTTAGCTATTAATTCAACTGGAAATTGTTGGTCTTATTTGAAAACTAAAGACCAGTGGAGTGATATCACTCAAGTATTACGAAGTGAAAAAGAAGTCTCTTCTCCAGAAAATCAAAATCCATTATCTTTTAGCAATGTTTGCTGTAGTGATACTATTCATTTAGCAGTTTCTTTTAATGGTAAAAATTATTCAACTTTAAAATCATATGGTAAACTTAAAATTTTAAAAAATTTTCTAGAAATTTTTTCAATTCCAACTAAATTATTTGATTCAAAATTCAAGGTATCCCAAGTTGCATGTGGTTTTGAACACATAGTTATATTAATTGAAACAGGATGTTTGTATACTTGTGGATCCAGTAGGTAAGTTTCAATTTTATATAGTTTGCATAACAAAACATTTTCAAATCACAACTTTTTATATTATGCTCAATATTTGATCCTATAAATCTGTTATTAAGATTATATATAAGATAATAAGTCAATAAAAATGTTAATCATCATTATTTAATTAGGGTTTAAAATTATGTTATAATATTTACAGTCGAGGCCAATTAGGTCATGGAGAATTGAATGAAGAAGATCATCCTCGACTATTAAAATATTTAGATGGTATTCGGGTCATTAATATTTCTGCTGGTGGATGGCATTCATCTGCAATAACAGAATGTAATGATCTCTACATGTGGGGATGGAATCATTCTGGGCAGCTAGGAATTTCAAACTCCCCAGGTATAAAATGTATATCAGATGAATTTTCTTTTAGTCAAATCTTAATAGATAAAAATTTTAATTGTAAACGTAAAAATAACAGTTTCCTATTTTAAATCTCAATTATTAAAATGTTTGTAAATATAATTTTTATTTTTCTGCTCTATTTAGGACTCAATTTATATTTAAATAATATTAATTTATTAGAAAATTATTTAAATTATACTTTTATCATTTTATCATATTTCATAATTACTAATTGTTAACTAATTTAAGGTTGAATGGTTTGTAAGACTTTATTTGGTTTACGACACTAGTTAAACGTATTCAAAAAAGTCAAACAGGTGAAATCATGATGTAGTGTGTTTTAATTTCTCTATGAAAAGTAACAATTAATGACATTTTTGCAGAAAATGGTATAATAATGGCTCCTGAACCAGTACTAATTAATTGGCCAGAAGAGACAGATGTCGAACAAGTGAGTTTGGGGGCAAGACATTCATTGATTCTATCTAGAAATAATATACTTTGGGGTTGTGGGTGGAATGCTCACAAACAGTTAGGTATTGAGACATACCAATTAACTTGTGATAGAATGATTAATTTGAGTTATTTATCCCCATTGCTCAAGTGCAACAAAAAAAAAATCATTAAAGTAGTCTGTGGTGCATGGAATAGCGCTCTGATTTTTGAAGAATAACAATTTACTTCCCAAATCAAATAATACTAGATGAAGAAATTGTTAGTTGCAGTTAGTATATATATATAAAAAAAAAACAATCCTAATGAGAATTTAATTAAAGTGTTTTTTATGTTATTTTTACTGTTACATGAATAATACATTTTATTTAAAAAACTATTCATTATTTTTTAACAATTTTGATTTTTTTTTTCTTATTTATATAACACAAATTTGATAAATTCTATTATTTTATAATTATTTGCCTCAAAAGAGATGGAATATTTTATAATTATATTCTCATAATTTAATTTAATTATAATTATATGGCATATCAACTACCTAAATAATTAAATTTGATAAAATCATATATTCATGTAACTTTTAGGATCATTAATAACTTTATTGTTTTAAATAATTTAGAACTGAAAAGGTCAATAATTTTAGTAAAAATTGTACTTCTTCGATGAACAAATTGTGGTGTGGTTGAACATAAGATATATTTGTCAACATTTGGCAAGTTATAACATTATGTAAACATGTATTCTTGTTATTTATTACTTTTGAAATAAACGATTAAAATATAAAATGTGTTCATGTGTATTTTTTAGTTATTTTAGTTCCACATAAATATACTCTATTTCTATAAGATTTAGTAAGTTTAACATGTTGAACTGCATTTGTTTGAGTATTTTGTTTTGTACTAAACATTTAATTTTTTATTTTTATCATATAAAAGTTAAAAGTTTAAAAAATGTTAGGGAAATTTCAGTGATGTGTATATATTTTTAATATTTTAAATGGACGCCATACATTAAATTTTAATCAATAAGATTTAAATAATTAAGTTATTACTGAATCTGAAAGTTTTATCTATCAAAAATATGATATTAAAAATATTGATAATAGTAATTAGTTAAGTAAAAAAATGTTTGTCCGTATATAATGCCTACATTTTGCAGCTATCAAAATGTAATAACATTTTCATTATAATGGTTTTATATATTGCTAAAATTTAAATTTAAATGGTTAAATACATTAATAGTTAAATAAATTTAATTATATCAAGGGCATATTTGAGTTATGGCCATGCGGAGGAGGGAGGAGCGAAACTTCTTCAATATGAACTTAAAAATAATTTATAGCTCATACTTCTGTTAAAATGATAAGTAATTTATATTCTTAATTATTTATACATTACATCAATGAATAAAATTAAAAAAAAAAAAATACGAGCTATAGGTGGGAGGGGCGAATGCCTCCTTCGCCCCCCTCAAATACGCCCTTGAATAATACGCAATTCGAAAAAAACAATATCGTAATTTAAAATTAAAAAATATACACAATTCATTGCGAATACTTCAATCGAAAATATAGTACGAATGTTATAATTAGGTTTAATATTTTGTATTTTTTGTTATAAAAGTATATCTAGCTGTTTTAAGTTTAAACCATGAGTCCCATCAACACAGATTTAGTCATTTCCAAATACAAAAATCATATTTTCCTAAATTTTTTACAAAATCATCTTGCACAGTATTTAAAATACAAAATTAGATGATTAATACATTTTACTAACTATTTAGCTAACCCATAACACTCATACTCTAAACATTTCAAGGTTATTCCTTCCACAGAATCTTGGACATAATTTAATGCCCTTTGAATAAGAACTAGTACAGATAGTAGTATAGTATTATATTAAATAAAATAAGCTACCTGCCAATTTTGTTTTATCAGCTGTAGTAAACCTAAATTTACCAATTTAATTTTGGTGCCATAATTGAGTATCGCTGTATCTTACAATTAATTCATTAACCTCGTTCAATAAAGATTAAAATATGGTATTTTGAACTTAGATATGGAGAAATATAAGAGTAATAAAAATGTTAATATACTTTCCTAATATTCTGTATTAACCCAGTAGATAGTCTTATAGATAGTATATCCAGTGTCTATCAATAAATCTTGATTATTTAATAATTTTATTTCATCTGTAATAATGGGCAATTATAATGAAAATTATGTTATTGTTTTATCAATGTCATTTTGATAGCTACAAAAGAGGGGCTAAATGTAGGCAATATATATGGACACAATAAATTTTTTCCTGCGAAGATCCATTCGTGGTGGTTAGTAAAAAATCAATATGCCAATGGTAACAAATAATTGTAATCCAAACAACACTCAAGATTTCACACTTAAACTCTGTATAAAATCATATATGATAAAATAAATCTTGACTTGTAGATATTGGACTTTTAGTAGTTAATAATCTGTTAAAGCTTAAAGTGAATTTAACTCGGTGACGATAATTTTACCAAATTTACAGATTAAAAGATCAACCTAATAAGGATATTTTTTCCTATGATTCATATTTGTAGTTTTTAGAAACTCCTTGATCTATCTCATGGAGAAGATGGTTGTAATTTATAACCTAGCTTTTCGTTCCGTGTCGCACTATGATAACCTAGTGGTCTGCAATTCAGTACTGCCGACGGAAACGGATTTCATTTCTTCGTGAATGTTCTTTGTAACTTACGTACATTAACTTTTACTTTGTAGTTAAAATTTATATTAAAAATGGTAAGTTTTTCTGTTACTTTCTTAAATACATAATCCAAATAGATTTATTAGATATTTTCGTTTCAATTTCTTTTAATCCTTAAGTCAGAGTCAGTATTTATTACTACACTTTTCATTAGTTTTGTATTGTTTTGTTACCAGTGTTAATTATGAATGTTATAATATATTTTTCCGAACAGGCATCAATAGCAACCAAGTTCCGCCCTCTTTTTGATCGAGTTTTGGTTAAACGATTAGATGCTGTTAAACAAAGTAAAGGTGGTATTATGTTACCAGAGAGTGCTTCAAAGAAAATTCTAGAAGCCACCGTTGTTGCTGTGGGACCTGGTGCAAGAAATCAGGTATTCAAATACCAATATATTACCTACTAGCTTTGATTTTTTGTTCTTTTCTAATTAATGTTTTTTTATTTTTAGGATGGCAAGCCTATTCCAGTTGATGTCAAGGTAGGAGATCGAGTGTTATTGCCTGAATATGGTGGTACCAAAATACAACTAGATGATGATGATTCATACACAATTTTTAAAGAATCAGAGTTATTAGCTAAAGTAGAGTAATATAAACAATTAGGTTAAAAATTATGTGACTGATTAATTTTTAGTAGAAAATAGTTGTCCGCATATTTAAATAAAATTCCATTTCTGAAAATTGTGCTTACAAATAATTCATTTATTATTTTGTTAATAAAATTTATGTCAAATGTTTTTTATAATTTATATTTAAAATAAAATAGTTTCAAAATATTATTTTTTTTTTTTTTAATTTATTACATTCTGTATGTACTGTATTATGTTCTTTCTGATTATTAGGGAACTCATAGTGTTTTAAATAAAAAATATAGGTACTTTATTTATAGATAAAAACAGGTTTATAGTATTTTGTATACTTACAATAGTTAAGAATTAAAAATTACTACAATAAGTATATTTCATAAGTTTAATGAGTGTTGGTTACTTTAATCAAGGCATTTGAAATCACTAAACTTTGAACCTTTTTTGTACATTGCTCACGACCCCAAGTTTATTTTGAAGTAAAAATATTTTTTAAAGAATATAATTTTGCATTCATGAGGCAGAGTTTATTCCAATTTTGGTAATGCTCTAATGTCAGAAATACAATGTTCATATATATGTATGGGAACATTGTTATTTCACTGGACACCTATTTTTTTCTTATATTCTTTTTAGTGATGATCGTAATTGAGATATCTCGATTATATAACAGAGATCATTTCGAGTGATATCTCGTTTACTTTAAAGTCAATGAATTTTTGATCACAGAATGAGTGTCGAATGACTCATGGAACGAAGGAGTGAGGGAGGAATACTATTTTTAATCTTCATAATCAAATAAGTAAATACTAGTTGTTCACTTTGAGTCTGTATTTTCGACTCGTGCTACTTGAAGGACTGGTTAGACAAATATTGATGGGTATACAGTTATTCTTAGCTATTTATATTACCCAGGCACTGCGTAAGGGGGTGGGCAATAGGGGCAGTTGCCTAGGGCCCCGCGCCTTAAATTATAATTAAGGCTCCACGGTTTTGATTTAACTGAACTTTAAAATATTTTATTAATATAAATTATAAGACCCAACATTTGTTTTGCACAGGGCCTAGCAAACACTAGCACAATCACTGATATTATCTATAACCAGTGGCGCTCAGACAGGTTACCAAGGGATGCAATTACATGTGCTCTCGTTGGTGGTGGGTGTATGGTCGGGTTGGCGGGTATATAATATAATTGGACAACTTGGATACCAAACATTATGGAGTATGGTAAGCAAATAACATTATTATAACACAAACATTATACCTATACGGCACTGGGTGTAGACATCTTAATTATAATAAATCTTCATTTCTTAAATTTATAGTGCTTTTAAAACTTAATTACAGTTATAGACAACAATTTAAACGAACCTTTTTTTTTTCTAAAAAAATAAATTGGTGGGTGAGTAACTTATTTTAGTTGCATGTGCTCTCAAAATACTTATGTGCGCCAATGCCAATAGTTATAATTTTTTAATTACTCAACCACAAAACAAAAATTTCTGAGAACCTTTATTAATAAAATTATATTATATTATGTATGTATATATATATGTATATATTTACAGTATGTATTAATTAAGAGATGTTAGGTTCGTGAACGAATAGTTTATTTGAACTATTCACTTTGCTGAACTATTCTGAACTGTTTTAGTATCTGTAACATAATAGTTCACAGTTCAAAAAAAATTTGTAGCATTGTATAAATGAAATAGTTTGGTGAACTTCTTTCAAAATTGGGATGGGAACAGTCAAGGTGGATTTATAACCTATATATCCACCTTGTGAATAGTTCTCCCGATTTTTGATATATAATAATTGATAACAGTGAACGTGATAAAAATAAAAAAAAGCTAATGCCAACCTCCAAAGTGTAAATAAAATCCCAATTCCTGTTTCGTTTTCCAGCATATAAATGAATAAGTAAATAATTGATTTCATACCAATAGTAATTTTTCGATAAATATATATTGAGAAATTTTGTCTTCTATAAAATAAAATCTTGTTTAGTTAGTTTTTAATCAGTGAAGTTAGATTTTAATCGTTTATTATTTAAATTTAATTCATTGATCATACTTTAATACTTTATATCATAATTTATTTATGTTATGTACTATAATTTACTATACATTTAAGAAGTACATATTTGATTCTACTAATGTCTTATAGTACTAATCAAGTCTTTAATATCCCTATGCGAGTACTAAAGGAATGTTTATTTAAAAAAAAAAAAAAAAAAATAGATTTTAACTTATTAGGATTTTAAAAACCTATCTGGGTCTCAGCAAAGAACTCAAATAAAAGAACTATTCAAGCCTTCCAAAACATCTTTCAACGTGTAATAACGGGTGCACCATGGTCCGTCTCTAATGAGTCATTAAATGTCGACCCCAAATAACCATCTATCAATGAAACTGCTGCTATCTTTTACAAGCGTATCCACTCCAAACTGCAAGAAAATCCAAACCAACTAATAAACGAATTAGCCTCACACTCGTCGGCAACCCAACCAGACGCCTCAAAAGAAACTGGTGCCGCGACCTGTTAACTTAATGATAAGTACTTAAAATATTCAGAGGTGTCACAAATGTGTGATTTCCTCCTCATGTATATAATTTATCCTGTGAACTGTCATTAAAATATTTATATTAGTTATTGTACTCAATGTATAGATTGTAATTCTTCATAATAAAGTCAAATATTTAAAAAAAAAAAAAAATATTTATCGGCTAAAATACTGTCGGCTGGAATATTTTCGGCTGAAATATTTTCAGCAAAATTATTTTCGGAATTTTTATAGCCCTCCCAATGTTTTCAAAACAATTACAGAATAATTATTATCACTTTTAGTGTGATGAGAAATTAGTACTTCAAAAATATGGCGGCTGAATTTTGTTTACATTTAGAAGTGACTATTCTGATTTCATTTATTCTGTGGTAACAGCCTAACAATATGATAGTGGTGAATAAATTACGCGCATGCGCAGAATGCTTAAGGTGTATTCCTGTGCTTAGATGCTCCTATCATTCTTATCAGGGGGAACAATTACCATGTGTACTGATAACAAATTTTCGTGTAGTCTCTATACCATAGAGTAATAATGCTACACTACACTCTCTACAATATAGACTGTAGAGTTTTAGATATTTGATAACCGTGATAATTATAACAGACGTACAAATTTTTTTTTAGATACTCTTCAAATCTTTAATATTTTATCATATTTCTTAATAATATTTTATTATGTTTTACAACTTTTAATTTTATAATAGTTTAATTAAATTATTTGAGCTCACTTTTAGATTATATAAATATAAGCTTTATAATAAATTATAAATTATTCATAATATTGTTGATATAAATGTTTCTATTTTATTAATGAATTATCCAAATGAAATTAATCATAAGGATTGTATGCCTTGTTTAAGAAGATCAAAAAATAAGTTTGTTGTTCTTTCTTTTGTATACATTTTATAAAGAATTTTTTTATTTTTTTTTTTTCAAACAAAAAGATTCTGTTATATATTTTAATTTTTTTTTTTTGTTATTTTAAATTTTCTTTGGTGTATGCAGATACAATTCAAAAATTATTAATGAATGTCTAAAATCTAGAAAAACAGTATGGCCTATTCCACAGATAGTTCAAGTTTTTTTGCCAGATTTTAAAATCAAATCACAGATCAATGAATATTCATTTGAGGTAACTATGAAATTTTATTTTCTTATATTATTTTATTGGTTTATTTAATTAACTGTATTATATTTCATTATATTGTTAGGAAAAAACTTATGGAAGTAGCACAAAGCCGCAATGGCTTGAAAACAATAAAAAAAAAAAAAATATTACAATCGTTTTATTACATTTAAGAATTTATTTTAAACTTTATTTTACAATTTTTATGTCTATTATATGTATATTATTTTTAAAAGTATAACTGTTTTAGTATTTAAAACTAATTTTGAATTTTAAAATATTTACTGAAAAATACTTAATGAAAGATATCTTTTCATTTGGTATAAGTATACCAACCGAAGTACTCTACACTCTAGTATTCTATACACTAGTCTAGGGATTCCCAACCTTTTTTACTTAATGGCACACTTGATCATTTTGAAAATTTCCACGGCACACTTAAATAATAAATAATGAATATACATAATGTAATAATTATATATAATATATTATTATACAATATAATATATATTATAAAAATTTAATGTGACATTTGAGACAGGTGTTTTTTACATAATTCCTCTGTTAGAGGTGAAACAGTTGAAACGATACAAACTGTTAAAGGACAATCAATATCACCTTCCATGTAAATCCAAAACATAAATAATTATCAACATATTTACGTTTAACTTTTAAATTTAAACTTTTACCACTTATTTAAGGTGATTGTTTAATATTAATTTCAATATTTAAATTGTCATTTGCAATAACATCACTACCATATATTAATTTACGCTTTTTTAAAAATCTATTAATTTTTAAATTTAACTTACAATATTTCTTGATCGAAATACCTATACAGTATAATGCGTAACAATTACAGTTACTCAATTCTCATTATAATGAGCACAAGCTATGTTTTCATATAGTTATTATAGTATGTAGTAAAAGTCAACGCAAGTGCTTGTAATACCCGTATTGGGTAGTATCAGATCCTATATAACATTATAGCTATATTATCAGAACATTTTATCATTTTTTATTTTCAAGGGAATTTTGAAGTCAATGCTATCATAAATATAAATTATAATTTTGATTATTATATTTAGTTATGCTTAAAAAAATTATAAAATTGCAAAAATTATACAGCACACCTGAAGAATTTCGCAGCACACAAGTGTGCCATGGCATAGTGGTTAGGAATCCCTGCTCTAGTCCCTAGTACAGTCACTTTGTTCATAATGTTTTGGTTTTTGCTATATGATTGGAATATAAGTTACGAAGGAAATTAAGTTTATGAGTCACCTAAGTATTTATAGATCTGTTATAATTTAAAATATATTTACAAAATTATATTTAATATATTAATATAAATTATGTATATAAACAAAAGAACTAATTTTGTTTTTTTTAATTACAATTTGAAGATCATATTAAATATATTTGTTGAATTACTTATTACCAAGGTTGGGATTTTATAGCACTTAAAATTGCATAAATATGCGCTTTAATATTACCTTAAAAATCACTAAATAAGCTCTAAAAATATGCAATAAAAACAACTAAAAAAAAGGAAATTTATTATTTAATAACTTTATACGAGCACACGAGACAAATGTGGACTATATAAAGCGAATTCTACATTTGTTTTTTGATAATCGGCTATTAATAGGTTTAATAGAAATCGACAAAAAAAAAAACCAACAAAATCAGCAAAAAACAAAAATTAGAATCAAATAACTAAAACAAAATTACTGTATGATATTAAACCTACCTATATATTATCACTGTGATTGTACAGAATTGCATCAACGTAAGTAATCGGTCTATTTACTTAATCTATACATTTATAATTTAATTTAAAATTAAAATTAAAATTTTGAATCTTGAAAATTCGATTAACAAAAATCAAATAACACGTTTATCAAAATAAAATATCATAAAATATGCCTGATTTTGATTAAAACACAGGTAAAAGGCAAAAAAGTCTTGAAAAATCCAAAAAAAGCACTATAAACTAAAAAACGCAAAATATGCAAAAAAAAATTATAATAAAATTTTTTATTTGTGTTATCTAAATCATGAAACACATTTTTAGCTTACTCTGCTATTTTTTAAGTATCTCGTAAGAAATATGCAAATGTTAGAAATTCCCAATCCTGCTTATTACTTTAGAATAGATTTTCCTATGATATTCTTGATTTCAATATTGCATTTATTCATACTAGAAATATTAGAAAGTATCTTTGGTATTATTTTTTTTAATAATTTAAACCAAGTATTAACAATTTTAGAAATTAAAAATATTTTAAAATAAAAAGGTCACTGTTTATAAAATTACCTACATATATTTAACATATAAGTTATATTATGAAGTCATAAAAAATAACTATTAAGTTTATATTTTCAGATTGTAGAATTGATATCTAATGGCGCGTTTGGCAAAGTATACAGAGTGAAAAGATTGAATTCTAATTCTGAATTATATGCAATGAAAATGTTAGAAAAATCATCGGTAACTATTTTTAATATAAAACCAATGTTGTATTTAAAATTTTTACTCTTTGTTTTGTTTAATATTTAATTAGGTATTTATTTTTACAAACAAAAAAGTTATAATTTATACATTGTAGTTTTATACTAATAATTTGTACTTCATAACTATTTTTGAATGGCTGAGTTTTATAAATGTACTACAATTTCAATATTATTCTAATCTTTATTTTAAGGTTTTTAATTATAAATTCTCTATTGGAAAACATAATTAGTATTTATCTATATAATAAGTAAATATTTTTTTTTAAATAAGCTTGAAAATGCTTAGGTCATAAGTGGATATGGGATTAAACAAGTTAAAGATGAAGTAAAGATTCAATCAATATGTGGTCATCATCCATTCATTGTGAACTGTCCATTTTTTTGGCAGAATAGAAATACTATTTTTATTGGTATGTATAGTATCAATATTTTATTTTTGTTGTTTAGAAATGTAATTTAACATTCTTGTATTTTAACTATTGACTTACTTATAAGTTGTAAATAATTTAATCATTTTTTGTGTATATTATATTTGTATTTCAGAATGTTTTATATTAAATATTATAATTTCCCTTCTTATATTTTCAGTTAGTGACTTTGTTGGAGGTGGTGAATTATTGAAATTATTACAAAATCATGGACCTCTTCCTGAAGAATTGTGTCGTATATATTTTGCTGAATTAATTATTATAATAGGTATATTATTATATTATTTTTAATATTACATAATAAGTAACTCACAGTTAACAATTTTTATATGCAAGTATTTAATATCTTACTCTATGTAAAAACATTACTTATAATTTATATTATAGATAATTTTGTACTACTAGTATATAAATTAAAAACATATTTTTATATATTTTCTTTAGTATAATCTGAATGTTTTAAGGAAGTTTATATATATATATATATATATTTATGTTTCATTATATCATATAATTTATATAGTTAGTATTTTCATAAACTTTTATTTAAAAAAATTGTTGTTATATATCTTAAATAATTTAAATCTTTTTATACCATACAATGTATATCTTAATTTAAAAAAATCTACATTACTTAAAAAAAAATGTAGTTGGAGGATTGTAATAATCTTCTGAATTTATAATTATTACAAAAATTGTATATTAATAGGAGGTTAGTTTATAGTGGTCATCATTGTAAATTAATTGTTTTCATACATTTTTAATTTATGACATAATGAAAAATTAAATTTGAGTATAATTTTGAGATTTACCATTGAATATTTTTTATTTAACTATTAGTTTTTACATTTTTAATTTTATACTTACATAAGTTTTTTGTTATTGATTTTGAAAGGACTTCATGACCAAATCAATTTGATCTAAGTTTTAAAATTATTTGAATATATTATACCTAAGTGATATGTATTAATATAGATATTAATAATTATGAGTTAAATTTGTTTATATATTTCTTCATCATTTATAATTAACATAACTTAGTTATATTGGTTATACTTGCACTGAGTATGCAATTTATGAAATGTATGCTGCAAACAGAATAATATGATCACAATATTCACTTATATGTTGGTTTATCAATACTTCCAAACTATCTTGTTTTTATTGCTCAAAAAAATGGCTAACCAGAATCTCTTGAAGATTGATGATAATCAGTAAAGTAATGATTGAAAAAATTACGAAAATGTTTCAGTTGCTTGATTATTTCCTTATCCTAGTCCCTTTAGATGTACTATTTTTTCAGTATTGATAATTTATTCATGTATTAAGATTGGTCTTTGAAATTTAATTTAGTCATTCCTAAATTATATATTTGTATTTATAACATGTGAATAATTAAGGATTTAGAAAATTGTTAATGAATTATCTATGTTTTTCAATTTCAAGATGAAATATTTTAAATTATTAACAATTTAAACTAGAGAAAAAATGAATTTTGATGTACTCAAATTTGTATTACATTTTATTTTGGTTGATATTACATTAATTTTTAAAAACATTTTTTACTACAGATTTTTTACACAATGCTGGAATTATATACAGGGATATAAAACCAGAAAATATACTGTTAGATGAGTATGGGCATCTTCAATTAATTGATTTTGGTTTGGCTAAATGGCTCTCTCATGGCTGTCGTACATCTACGATTTGTGGCACAACTCAGTATATGGGTTAGTAATTAAAAAACTACTACATTGTATGGATGCATTATATTGTTAAATTTGTTTTTTTTTATAGCACCTGAAATTTTTCAGTCTAAACCTTATAATCATGTAGTAGATTGGTGGTCAGCAGGTGTGTTATTATTTCAAATGCTAACAAATCAGGTAAAAATTTTATATGTATATATAATAAACATACATAATATATTCTATAATATAAAATGTGTTCTTTGAACCAGTGACACTAAACTACAAAAAAATGTAGTATAGCGAATATTAAATTTAAAAAGTATCTCATTATCCAGTACACTACTCTTCCTAAAATAATGATCAATGATCATGGTTCTTAAATTATTGATACATCATAATTGTATTGACCATAGTAGAATAGTCAAACAATCAGACAATGAATATTACTATAAAATATACAATATTACAATTTCAAGTTTTGATCATACAATGTTTTTTCTATGATGAATAGTTACATACTTTCATAATACTTACACATGGGTTATGGGTATCAAGCTATGTGTCACCTACCCATTGCCCATATTACCTATCTATCTTCCCCCATAATTCAATATGGTAGTCGCCATACTTGGATATAGGAATCAGCGTCACTGTTCATAAAATATTTGCTATGCATTATACCGATAAAATATTAATCTAATTTACCAGTTTAAGGTTTAAATAGTTTTAACAATTAATTCAGTATTATATTTTATGCATCTACTAGACAAATTATTACCATAATATATTTTAATTTAATTATTTATAATCATAAAAATATTTATTGTTTACATGATTGCGTGTTAATTTTGAATAACACTTTTCACGACAAGATATTTAATACTTTTATTCTATTATAAGAGGGACTATTTAATCAAAGAACACTAATCTTCATTTGATTGATGTTTTTCTTACCTAGTATTATTTTTATATAATTCTGAAGTCATACTAAGTTATTATTACTAACCGGTGGTGGATTTAGGGGGGGGGGAGTTGCTTGGGATTTGAAGCACTCATCGTTCCGCATATTTTTATTAAAATATGGTATGAGTTATTAGAACGCGCGCGCAACAGCGGCAGCGGTCATCTGCGTGCCATGGCGTAGCATACTGGTCGACGACCATGCACAATTTTGAGGTACCTACACTGGTTTTCCGTGATTTTGCTGGCCGCTGTTGTCATGCACAGATCTATATTATCCTAGAGAGAATATACCGAATTCACTGATGTCTGTATTATACTAGATACCGAATTCATGAAGTTTATCATTGGCAATAGTAAATCTCGGCGGCGCACGTTTATTATTTGTCCATCATGTTTTCGGTAGACAAAATAATACATGATCACATATTTATAATTTTATAATACTGAATATGTTATACATATTATCAAATGTGGACCTTTAGTTAAAACTAGTTAAATTAATAGTTAACAAAGTTAAGTTGAAAAGTTAATTTTTTTTCCTTTTTAACATAACTACCTAGTTTATTTTCTAATAAATTTTTTAACTTAGCTAGTTTAATTGACAGTTGAAATAACTTAGCTTTTCGCAGTTGATTTAAAAATAATCTATCAAGTAAAAAATTTTTGAAATTTTTCGTTTATACATAAATATTATTATAAAAATTAAATAATCATATAAAGTAAAATCGTCGCATACACTGTACATCAAATGTCATTAGATTTTGTAGGTTGGGGTTCCACCTTTGGGTATTGGGTTCTGGACGTGGAAATGTTATGTATAAAGAATTTTAACTATAAAGATAAATAAATGCGGTAGTGATGTACAATGTCGTAGTATTTTTCAAACTTTTTGGCTCCGCTTCTGTATATTATGATAAAAAATTCAATAAAATTGATTCTTATAAGCTTCACCTGATAAGTGGAGTTCGATATCTAGTATAATATAGATATCTATGACCGAATTGAACGCACAATACATTTTTAACGGGCAACAGCATGGTCTAAGAAGATAGATCTATATTACATTTATATTATATCTTCTATGACTGTGGACAACGGTGAAGCAAATAGATAAGTCAGCTGCTCGGTTGAACAAACATTAGTTTTTGTATGTTATCTATAATAGCATCATAGAACATGATATTGTGTAATATAAGATGCCTCGTATAATGTTAATTAATAATTGTATGTCATATTGTTTATAATTGTTATATTGATTCATTATGAAATAAATCCAAAATACATGTACATTGCAAGGCTGGTTTTTATCACTGTTTAAGCATCAAATTATTAATTTTTTTTTTGCTCTCAAAATTGTTTATAATAAGTACTTAAGCGCTATTATTAACAAAATAGCACCCACCATAAAAAAAAAATCCTAGATCCGCCATTGTTACTAAGAATGTTAGCAAAATTTCACTTGCGATTTTACTGTTTATTATATTGTTTATTATTAACCTGACTATGAATTTTTAATTCAAAATCGTCCGTACTTCACAAATAAAATAATATTCCAGGCTAAGAATTTATTTATATACTTATATATACATGTCAGTTCATTATATACATTTGTTTTATTTTCGATTCGAAGATATATTTTAAACATATATATGTATATATGTTACGGCTAGTGTCCGAAGGACAGCTAATATTAAGATTAACCGGCTAATCTTAAGTTTATACAATGCTTTTGGCTAATGTAAAAATTTCGGACTTCAGCCACTAAAAACAAATGGATAATCTTAACACTAGACAATAAAACCAACTATAAATTAAAATATACATATAAAAATTAAAAACAATATCGATAAAATCGAAAACTACTTTTTTTTTATTATTTTGATTGTTACATTACAACCATTTCTCGAAAATTTAAATTGATCGAAAAAGTATCACTCACCACATCAGTAACATTTAAACAAAATAATTTTTTGTTTATTCATTTTATTTTTTAATTATACGTTATATATATTATATAACTATTTCATCAAATATAATTAATACTCTTACGTCAAATCAGTATCTTAAGGGATTTTTATGTCTTAATTAAATTGTATATTATTATATATTTTGATTTCTTAAGTTTTGATTTGTTTAGATGGAAAATTTTATATTAAAAATTGTCCACTTCTATTATCTGTTTATCTTTATCATTATTATGTGGTTGATAAAATCATAAATTTAAATTTAAATTTATTATCATACATCATACGAATTTCGCATGAGGCAATAAAAAAAAATTTGCCATATAGTTGATCCTGTTGTGATTTCACGGCAGTTGGTGACCCGCGGCGGTGCACACTCAAAATTCCATATAAAAAATGCGATGGCGGCAGCCAAGAAAGGTGAATAACCAGTTCTGAACTTGAAGTCCAATTTCAAAACCGGTCTGTTTGACCTCCGTTGTAGACAGCAGTTATTCTGTATTATTTTACAGCTATAATAAAATGTGTATTAAAACGCCTTCCTCACTGATTTAACACACATATCGTTTAACAAGTTATGTTACCTGCATCAGCCTATTCCTATATATTGTGCTCCGTTTATTTTTACAATGCCACACAAAATCAATTTAAACTTATACTTTTCTATTTGTAGTTATTAATATTAATGTTATATTAACATAAATCATTTTACCTTATTTCTTTCCATTTAATATACATTTAAAAATGTCTACGTTTTTCTATTTTTAACAGTAAAATATGTACTGAATTATGAAGTTTTTATCGTTCCATATGAATAATTTGTTTGTAAGTAATATTTTTGATGAAAACTTACATTAAAAGATTAATATATTCATTTTATAGTATATTATAATTTTACAAAGGATAATCTAATTGTAAATGCTATTTTTATCAGTTATTTTAATTTTAATAATAAAAAAAATCTATGATCTAATTGATGATGTTGAATGAGTTTGCATGAGTTTCATTTTTTTTGCCACACCTCCAAGTGAACAATTATTTTTAATTTAAAATTTTACGTTCAGATTGTTTGAATGCCTTAGTGAATTGTATTCATTGTATCTACCCCCAATGGATTATAACAATAAAAACCAATTTATTAACCAAGATAGGTTATTTGTGTTATGCATTTATGCCTTGCGCATTTCAAATTAATGTTTGTGAATTTTTCATATTTTACTTATTCAAATTAAAACATGAATTATAGTTTTAACTGTCGACATGAGTGCACCTAAATTGCCTATACAAAACGCCTTCTCAAACTTATTTTATGTAATTATATTTTCATTGGTTACATAATTTATAATTTTGTTGCACTTAATAGCAAATGTATATAGATTTATAGCGTGATATGCATTTGTTTCATATACTTAATTGTAATACTATACATCCATCATAAAACAAATCATTATTAAATAATACAATTAAAATGCAACAGCAATCATTGTATTTGACTAGCTTTAAGTTTTATTATTATAGGAATTATTAAACAATAAACAAACACAATTTTAAGAAATCGTTTAATATTCTATTGTTGATATATGATGACAATCTGTCATTGTATAATAAATTAGGTACATTATGTGTAATTAGTTAAATACTATTATTTAACAACCTAATAGCTAAGTAGAAACTTAAAACTAACATAGTATTCATGTTTTTGTTCATTTAAATTATTATAAATACGTAGCCTATAAATAAATTATTTATAAATTGATATCACACTGAAGAATGACTGAATAAATAGCAAATTAATTTCCCTACAAATCATTTCAATTGTAAAAAGTCATATTATTATTATTTGTATGCATTTTTTTTTTAAATTAAGTTTAATTATAAATGAACTGTATTGGTTCATGATTTTTGGGAATGAAATTATAGATTATAGGTACATGATTTTGTGTATTTAATTTGTATGACAAATGTTATTGTTTGTTTGTGTTGGACGTTATTGTGGTCCTTTTGATGGTTGATTGGTTTACATTGCTATTCAGTCTTGTCATTTTGATTACCTAGGTGGATTTCTTTTGTGTTTTCATTTTCTTCATAATGGAGTCGGGATGTTTTCTTTCTTTGACAGCGTCTCGTTTGTTTACGGAGTGTTCTTTCTTTTCGTCTTTGGCGGGTTCTTGTTTTGTTGGCTCTTCCGCCGAACTTTGTTCTGATGGCTTTGGTGCTTCAGCTGGAGTTTCAGATTTTATCTGTTCTGCAGGTTTTGCTTCTTCAGCTGGTTTTTCTTGTTCTACTGGTTTTGAGTTTTCTTCCGATACCACAGCAGCTGATTTTTGGCTATCGTCAACTGGCTTGATTTCTGATTGAGCAGTTGGTTCTGCGGTGTAAGCATCTTTGGCGGGTTCATTAACCTTTTCGGTTTCATGTGTAGCTACTGGATCGGCCACTGGCACTGCGGGAGATACTTTAGTCTCAGATACTTCACTAGCAGCTGGAATTGGGTTTTCAATAAGCTTTGCAGGTTCAGCGGCTTTAGCTGGTTCCGCAGCAGCTTTGTTCTCGGTCTGTGGAACAGATTCAGAAGGTTTGACTTCTTCGCTTGTTGCTGGAGCAGAAGCTGGGACAGTAGTTGGAGCAGCAGCTGGGTCAGCTTGAATTGGTGCTGATTGTTCCACTTGATTGGTTTCAATGGATTGTTGTGTTGCCTTAGAGTCTTGAGATTCAGTTGGGTTGAGTGGTAAAGCTACAGGTGGTTCGCTACTAGGCTTAACTGCCTCTGGTTCAGCTTTTAAATCACCGGAAGGTTTGGCTTCTGGTTTAGCTTCAGCAAGCAACTCAGTTTCGGCCTTAGCATCAGTTGCTGGTACATTTTCAGTAACTTGTGGCACGGTATTTTCGATTTTCTTTTCGTCATCGTTTGTTGGTGCTACAGCATCATTTTCGGGTTTGGCTTCAACAACAGCTGCAGGTTTTGACTCGCTTTCGGGTTTTGGTACACTGACCACTTCCGATTTTGGGTCGTTCTCGGGTTTCTGTTCAACTGAAGGTTTTGATTCGCTTTCTGACTTAACGTCACTAGTGGAAGGCTTGACTTCAGCTTCAGGCTTAGCATCGCTTTCGGGCTTAACACCACTTACTGCAGAAGCTAAATTGCTTTCTTGTTTGCTATCTATCTGCTTCTGAGGTGAAACTTCAGATGGTACTGCTTGTGGTACTTCCCCAACAGGCATGGATTGGGTGCTCCAGAAAAGAGCTCCAAATAAGCAGAGTCCCAAAATTACAGTTTTCATTCTGTAATAAATTGATTAACAATCATGTTAAATATATATTCATTAAGGACCATTTTCACACAGTTTTTTTTATCGACTGCCTATTAAAACTAGTATTTAATTAAAAATATTAATTATGGTTTATGAAATAAAATAAAATAAATTTTAAACATCATTGCGTCATATATACTTTTTAAATTAATGTAAAATATGACACATAAATAATTTACAATATCCTTCATTTTATTATATTTTTCGATTTCATATATTGTATATTATGTAATAGTTTATTATCTTTAAATCATAATATTAGCACATTAAAAATTTGGATATTTCAAAAAATGTCATTGAAAAAAATTCAATAAAATATAGAATTGTTTTTTAGTAATAATTAACAAGACATAAAATCAACAATATTGAAAAGGAATTTTAAACGTTTTTCAAATAGGTTGAGGAAATTTTGTTTTAAATTAAGAACCTACTACAATTTTAGTTTTAATTATATTGTTTTTATAATTTATTTTTATCAACTTTTGATAATCTTTCAAAATCACTAAAATAAAGTGCTATTTGTGTTATTTAAATTCATATATATATATTTTCTTCTAAAACAATTATTGCATTTTAGTTTTATTTGACTTTATTCCTCGGGTCTTGTGATATTTTGTAATTTAAGATAATTGTATATATTTTTTAATTACATTACTTTTTTATCACATTAATTTTGAAAACTAAGTATGTTTCACTTTAATATTTATAAATTTTATTTTTGTGATATGTGTTCATGATATAATAGAGTAATTATAAAAATATTTTAAAACAAGTTTAAATTTTTACTATTTGCTATCTACCATATATATATATATATATTAATAATTCTTTATTTTAGTAATATGTTTTATTTTAATTTTCTCGAACACTGCAGTTTTTAATAATCCTAAAATAAATTATTTATCGATCGCAGTTTTAAGATTGTTTATTTTTATACGAAAAAAAAAAATAAAAAAATTTCAAATTTTAAAACATATTTTATATTAATTTATCTGTTACAAAAAACATTAATGGAATTAATTATTATTATTATTATTATTAGAAATTATTATTGGTTGCAAGCTGCTTGATATTATTATTGCAAGCACAATTATATGATAAAAAATGATTTACTAAAATAAGTAAGATTTCAAAAATATATTTTACTGTATATTTTCTACGGAAAATGTTCTTATTTTAAAATCATAAAATATTTCCTAAGCTCTTGATTATTTTTTTTTCATGGTTATCATAGTAATATTGGTTTATTTTTTGAATGGATATTGTATTTTTGCATAAATGTAATTTTAAATAAACAAAATTATTTAAAAAAAAATTAAACGAAATTTTAAACTATTTAAAATTTATAATATAATATTGGCAAAATAAAAAAAAGTAATAGTAAAATAATATTTTACCTGGCTGTAGTTTGTATGTAAAACGCTGTTTAAAATAAAATCACGACACCGGGATATTTTGTGCGAAACCAAATTGTTTTTATTCTATACCGCTGTATTTCACTATTCACTGATCGCAATGTTGTATCGGCAAAAAAGTTGTGTTCAGGTTTGCGCGTGATACTTGTGTAACGTTGCGCATACAATGAGCTACCTCTTTATAAGTAGTACCTCGGCGCAACACACGCACCCCCGGCTGCATCGCTAGCACACTGCTGCCACCACTCGGCGGCTTGTCCGAACAGAAAAATTGAAAACCAATAGTTACGCAGCAACTATATCTGTTAATGCATCGCTTTGTTTCTAAAGATAAAAGTTGTATTTCTTCGTTCATATGTTTTGTTTAATGTTCAATTATATTATCATATCATATCATATTTTTTTTTTATCTGATCGTTACTTATTTTATAAAAAATATATATATAAAATAAAAGAGATACGTGAACTACTGAAAAATAAATCCTTATCAAAACATATATGTTTCGGTGTTTCTATATATTTCGAAATTTATATAATTATTATTATTAATTTTATTAAGGATTTAACAGTTTATATTTATATATCGCTCATAATATGTGCATATTATGTACATATTGTTTATGTACTTTTTATAATCCATCTCTTATAACTAATATTTCATTTTAATAAAAGTTACATTAAATCAATAAAGTTATTATTTTTTTTATTGGGTGTTTTACTGTCACATTTAGCGCATTTAGAAATAGTTGAAGAAAATTGTCTTGAATGCTGAACCTATTGAATTATTTTTGATTAATCAGTTATACAATTAAACGGATTAAGTTTAATTTTTTTACTTATTTATGTTGACTCTCGTAATTTATTTAAATATTATAATTTAACAATGTTATCCCAATGATCCATTTTTTTAAGTAATACATTTTTTTATTTAGGTTTTACTAATCAAATTATTGTTTGAACCAGAATTTAATTTTATAAGTGTCCATACATTTTCTAAGTATATATATGTGTGTGTATGTGTTCACTGTACCTGTATAATCGTTTGGTTTATTTGTGTTGTAATATTCTAACATAAATTAGCTACGCCTTTGTAACCAAGATAACAACTTTATAAACCAATAGACCCTAATGTATCCGAAACATATACTTAGTATTTTGTAATAATCTTTCTCGTAAAAGTTCATGGTTGTGTTAACCAACCACAATTAATGTTTATTTTACAATTGACATATGAAATATTATGGACTGATTTATGGTCTCATACAATTCTGAGATATTGTACGAGTACTCGCAACTAGTCGATTTACTCATTTTTTCAACCGACTAAATAATTTTTCTTGTTTCTTATATATCTTATTTGTTAGAAACCTATAACTCAAATAATAATATTCAGTTTATATTTTTATAATACTTTGTTAAAATAATTAAATACAAGCGTAGTGATTGAATTATTTAAATTATTTATATGATACGAATAATCCTGTTGTAATTGTAAATGTTACAGTAAAATATATTTTATCCTTAGTGAATATTGGCAGTTTTTATCACTATAACTAATTAATTTATAATATATATATAGATATATATATATTATTATTATTGATTTTTACGATAGCAAATAACGAATACAATGAAGATTTTATTGGATTTTGAATGAGCTATTATTATTGTCATTATAAATACATTGGATAGTGTCTTGCTATTGTTTAATTTTAAATTTTAATTCTGAATATTGTAAAAAATTGAGCTATTTAATCCTAATATTTTATAAATATCATTTTTTGAAAAAGATACTTATATTATATCATTATAAAATTAAATGAGAAAAAGAAAGTCTTTCGCTTGAAATAATTTTTTTAACTAACATTTCTTGAATTTTTCATTGATAACAAGAGCATCTGACTTATTCAAAAGATGACGCAGATCTTTTAATCAAACAATATTATTATAAAAATACTATAAAAAGTATACATCAAGGAAAAATAATTATAAAAGAGTACCTGAAAAAAAGTACTTCGTGTGAACATATATATATGAAATCATCTAGAAAAGTATCATGTTTACTCGCGGTGTACTTCGTTATTGTTTTATTTTTCTGTGATAGTTTCATTGATTGTTTCAACATTATTTATTAAATAAAATATGTTTCAATGATGTGTATTTGTTTATTTTTAGTTGAAATTTAATTGAAATATGTATATTTTGTCAATTATTATTTTACTAAACAATAGATACTTTACATATATTATCCCTAAGATTTTGAGTATCATGTATTTATATTTTGGTTTCGTATTTAATAACTTAGTAACTGTTAAAATCATACATTTTTTTTCAATGTTTCATATATGAATTATGCTTTGTCTTTAAATATATTTAAACCGTTGATCAAAATATATATTTGAAAATTGGTTTTCACATATTTACTTCGATTGAGTGAGGAGCTCATATAATATCTTATTAACTATGGAAAAATCTAAATTTCCTTGGAGAATTGAGTTGAGTGTTGTTAAAATTAAATTAAATTAAAAAAGTATCATTAAAATACTAAGTGCACCAACTGTTAGTGTGTTCTCTAAAACAAATTAAAACATACTAATAACAAATACTTAGTTTGTCAATTTTCGGATTTTATTTTCATAAACTTTACTTTAATTTCAACCTATATTTCTGACCCGAATTCCGAACTTTTCAAATATTGATTTTCGGTCTTTTGGAATAGATAATTTATGGTTTGTCCTTTTCCTTCGTTTTTGGTCCAAACCTAATACGTTATTCACGTATGCTGTGTAAACTAATAATTTCCCACTAATCGACATATTTTTTTTTAAAACGCAGTAGAACCGGAAATTCTACATGCATATATTTTAATATAAGCATGTACAGAAAAATATCTTTCTCTTAAAAAAAAAAAAATGTTAATGAATAATGTAAGTATTTTTATTGTAATTTTTATGAGTAAACGTCCTAAGTAGGTTGGATAATTTTTTATAAGATATTTATTCTTGGCATTTTTAGTTTAACTCTTAAATCTTCTTTATAACGTGCAAATGGTAATCAATTTAAATTAAATTGCATCAAGTCTGGTAATTAGAAATAACGTAGAAGTATGATAATTAATTTATTTAATAAACAAATAATGGTATGAGCTAATGAATTCCATTTATTCATATTTCAAACAGGTTTTCTATTTCCTAATTATTCATTTGAAATTGGTTTTGATGAAAATATGCATTATAGTCTACTAATCAACTATAAACATTAACTATTTATAGGCGTATAGTGAATGTTAATGTATGAATATGATAAGTAACTTGTTAAATTTGGTATGTATCAAAAAAAATCATTAATTTAAAATTAGACATTAAAAAATATGATTGTTAATTTTCATTATATTTTATTGAATAAATAATTAGTTAGCTTATGTACTTATGTCACAAACATTTTAACAGCCCCATTTCTCTTAAGCGTTAATATTTTATGTAACCTCACTTCATGTATAACTATAATTTAATATCCTATATTCGTGCTGTCAAGAAAAAACATTATGATAACTTAAGCAAACAATATATGATTTGTAATTTAAAAAAATTTAAAAAACCATTAATTATTTTCTGGAATAAATTTTGTTTAATTCATTATTATTAGATAGTTATAATAAATAAAAAAAATTAAGATCTTATTGATTTTAAATTTTCATAAATAATTCAAATAATTGATACATGGTTACAATTTTAACATAAATGATAAATTATGGTCATTCCGTTTAAATAAATAAGTCCTATTTCAGAATATAAAATAAGCAATTGGTTCAATTCAAAATATCAATTTTTTATTTTTTAAAAAGTTACATAATTATGTATTGAATATATTTAGCCATTTAGGACACTCGGCTCTAGAGTACAAGTTTTCCACCTACAGCAATTTTGAAAAACCTAGCCAATTTATTGCCGTCCATTAAATGTTGTTATCTTTTAAACTCATCAGACGGTTTTTGTTTTCAAGATTCCCTATTGTGTGAATGTATTATTTTTTATTTATTTTATTTTTTTAACGGTCCATTGCCAATCTGTGTTCTATATCTTGGCTAAATAGTATCCTATTATTTTGTTAACCCTTTATTAAAGTAAACGCACATTAACTTTTGCGTGTTTGGCCTGCAGGTTTATTCTCGGGAACATTCCGTATGTTTTTTTCGATGGTACATTAATACAAAATAAAGACAGCTGAAGATTATTCCATAACCTTACGTTCCGGAACACCTTAAGATGAAGTTAAAAAAATAAACGAATGTAATATTTAATGTTCTTAATCATCGAATAAATTATTTCGACCAATAAATATATCGGAGATATATTTATACAAATAAATATACAAAAAGTATACAAATAAACCATACTGATGAAGTGCATACATGTGTGTTTCGATGAAAGGGTCCATCTTACATTATTTTCTGTTTTAATTTGTATTTGATTTTATTAATAGGCATTTTGACATTGTGTTTTACCTATGTACATATTAACCTTTGATGTTTGATCTACATATGTGTGTATACAATTATACATTCTTTATAGCGTGTCGGCCACTACATTACTATCATATCAGTGCAATAACGTTCTTAGTAAAGTTTTTATTATTACCATAAGAACGCGAATGGTCATAGCGCATTTAAGTTGAGGAAGATAGAGTGTGTACTGAAAAACATGTAAAACTGGTTTAGTCGGTCTGACTAATTATTATAAATTCGTCAGAAAGGTCAAAATTAAATATAACGGGATCACTGTAATAATATTAACTGTACTATCTATTTTTAGCTATAACGATGAATATGTTATTTATATGCAAGTAGATAAGTTGATCTTCTATGCTTACTGCAAAAAGTATCTTGATGCAATTTAAAAATAATATTACAAGGTATATTTCATTAAATTCTAAGTATAATTACACATATTGAGTTATTTATACTATGCAAATGAGTGCATTCGTTTTTATGGAGTGTTGTTTGTGTACTTTAATTTTCTTTTTAAATTATAAAATTAATCATCTATTGTATTAATAATCTCTGTATTTTAATCGATAAATCATGATATATCATCAGTTATTATTTGAAACTCAAAACTCAAAACATGACTTAAGTAATTACATTATAAATATATTTATTTTAATTTTATGTCGTTGTCT